CTTATAAGGATTTGGACAAATTCATGGAAGAGGTGAGTGGTAGAAAGTAGAAGAAAGACAGAACATGTGTTCATGTCGTGGGGTGGCGGTTCTTGACTTAGCTAGCTTTATCTCTACCGTTGAGTTTGTTGTGAGATGAGTCTATAGTGTACCTTAAAGTTATAATAAGTCACTCGTGTAGATTGGAAGGAATGCACTTAGAGCATCATTATCCCTATAACCCCCAATTGAGTTTCTTAATGACTTATTTAATAATAAAAGTTTTTTTTTTATAACACTGAAGAGTTTGAGAACAAATGATATATAAAAGAAAACATAAGAGATAAGATGAAATGGAATGTCAGTAGACATTAAAAATGGAAGATACCTCACCAACTCCCCTTATTGCTGAGTCTCCATATCGAGAAGATGATAGAGCCACACCGGTGCATTTCGGGCGATATACGATTGGTGCCGAAAATCGCTAGTAACACTCTCAGCGATTGCTGCTGCTGCTTCATTGCGGTTCGGGAGAACATGTTCCAGACACCATGAATCTATCCTTGCCAGGAGAAAGGATATGTTGTGGCGAATATGGTTGAAAGAAAGTTGATCAGCAGGCTTCGTGAGAACATCATGCAAACCTTCCGAGGCTGTTTCAAAACTAATATTTGAGAAATGTAAACTATGTAAACATTCCACCGCCCAAAAGAGAGCCCACACGTCAACCTCTGTTTTAGTGCGCATATACGAATAGGCCCGACGACTATGCATTATTGTAGACCCATTTTCATCACGTAGAATCCATGAAACTCCTGAAATATGGTTCAAGTTAACCCAGGAAGATCAAACATTACATTTAAGGAATCCATTAGGTGATTTTTTCCAGCGAACCATTTAAGTTTGAACACCATCGCAACTCCATCAGCAGTACCCGTGAATGATCAAACCATATAGATTCTTCTTCATAGGCATGCTTCGCAATGAATGCTGAATTTAAAACTTTGTTAGTTAGATTAGTTAAAAATTTAGTTAAGAAACTCATAGATTTTATGCTGCATTGGAGGTTTCTTAATTAAAGGTTCTTAAAAAAATATATATATTAAATATTTTTTTATTAATTAAAAACATAGTAAAAGATAACATTTTAAACATAATTTTTTTTAAATAAACATAAAAATAAAATTTAGTAAAATAAACGAGAATAATTTGAAAGAAGTATCTGATCTTCTTGACGTCCAAGTTACACCATATATGTTCAACCAAATCAGTTTTCAGTTACTGATGCATTTGTCTATTACAAATTCTTGTTCGATATAAATCCATTTTTTTTTTGTTTTTTTCCTTTTTTTTCTTGATTACTATGATGAATGGAAAAAATCTCGAACGTTTGATCAAAATGTTGAGCAAAGATTTGATCAAATGTATCATCAATTGATTTTTCAAAAGTGTTTTGAGAAGAAGAAGCTATATATGGTGATTAAAGAGAGAAGATGACTTTGGTAGTTGAAACAAGGTTTAATTTTAAGACGATTTTTAAGGTCGTTCCAAGAAAATCTCAAAACGAGCATAAACTATTATAACTCAACTAGTGTTTAAACAAGGGTTAATTTGTTTTATATTAAGATAAAATTATTATAAGAGCATATGAAGAATTAATTTTATTTTAATAGGTTTTATGTTAATATATATACATATATATATATATTTTTCATATCGTTTAAATTAAACTATACATTGTATGAAAATACATACTAATATTTTGATATTTGCATTGAACATATATTAAAATTTAATATTTTAATTTTAAAATATGTCATTGTTTCTTTAAATGATTATAAATTATTGAAACTACTAAACATCTCACATTAAAAAAAGTTGTTGGTGTAAAATTTTGTTATACAAATATGCAAACAATCATAAAATCATACGATTAGAAACCTCATTTAAAAAAAATACGTATTAAAAGTGTGCTATATATCTATATTAATATCAGTTAAATTTAATGATATCATATACGATAGATAAGATTGATTGTTTTGATTTATTTATCCTAATTGCGAATAAACAAGAGTGATCGTTAGATTTCTATGCACACACCAATTTATTACATAATAGTAACTGATTTCTTAGTTATTTAATATATACACTTATTATTTTATTATTTTATTATTTCATAATACGCAGAAAAACATAGAATAAATAATAAATGTATCATATTTATTTTGTAAAAAGTGCAGATCTTAACCTAAGTATGTATCTCTTTAATTATTTTAAATCTTAAGTATTATCTAAATCTTAGGCCATAACAAACAAGCGAAATGAGAATAAACTTCAAGATCAATATTTATGTCTACCAATAACCAAAATGAAAAAGATAGCAAGAGAGAAAAATATTGAAGATAAGTAGGATTGACACGTGAACGTAAACTTCTCATAACCATAATTAATTTTTAAATTACTAAATCATGATATAGAAACGAGCTGACATAGTTTCATTGTAACCAAATAGACCCGAGTTTTTTTGACCTAAACGTTAGGTTCTTTGCGGTAAATGATATTTTGACATAATTTTTTTTTTTAAATGAGACTATTTTCATCAGTAAACAAATTATGTAATTAACACAAAATTAAAAAAAAAATTTAAAGACCAAAATATTAATTCAATCAAAAATATAGATTTATTTTTCCATATAATATTTTTAAATAATTTTTATATAAATTTATCATGCGCAAATCTTATCCTAGTTATAAATTATGAAAGAAACGGTTTTTTAAAAAACTTGTGTATAGTAAGTAAAAAAAATCAATTATTGTTTACCGAATTAATTGTCTGATTTTTGTTATTCTCAATGTCGATTTACTCACATTATTAAAAAGTTCAAATATTCCCTCTATTTCATTATAAGTGTCATTTTAGAGTTGCTCACAAGGATTAAGGGAACAATTAATTTTACATATTTCCTATATAAAAACATAATTACCTATACACATACGACATACCCACATTTTACCCAATAGAAAAAAAATTACATAATAAAATTAATAAATTTTTTATTGAAAACCAAAAACGACACTTATTTTGTAACGAAAAAAATTCTCTATAATGACACTTATGAAATGGAGGGAGTAGGTTTTTGAATTGAAGTCGACTTGAAATCGTATTATGCCAAATTAATTGTTTGGATCGTATCTAGCAAAACTTAAATTATTAGGATCGAAATAAGAGCATCATTATTGGTGTCCTTAGTGCACCCCTTAGGTATTAATAATCATTTGTTTAAACCCAAATGAGTAGGAAACGGGGAAAAACGTATGTTAATTAAGGGGTGTTTAAATCACGTCCTTAAGGGCACGTCATCAAAGGAGAGGAAGACTGAATGGGAGAGAGATAGACGCATGAACCGTCTCGACTTCATTCTCCGTCTTCGTTCTCTCCTTCTCTCTCCCAACTGGAGAAATGCAGAACAATGTTGGAACTAAACCAACTCCATTCCCTCATGATCAAATCCTCTGTTATCAAAAACATCATCCCTATAAGCCGTCTCATAGACTTCTGCACCACCTCCCCAAAGACAATAAATATCACGTACACGACATCAGTTTTCGAAACCATCGATTCCCCAAGCGTGTACATATGGAACTCTACGATCAGAGGCTAGTCAAACAGTCAAAACCAATACAAAGCATTGATCTTTTACCAAGAAATGGTTGGGAAAGGTTATTCTCCGGATTACTTCACGTTTCCTTATGTGTTTAAAGCTTGTTCTGTGTTGAGGGATGTTAAGTTTGGGAGGTGTGTTCATGGTTTTGTTGTGAATATGTATGTTTCCACTTGTTGGGTTCATATGTATATGTGTTGTGGTGAAGTGGAGTGTGGTTTGAGGGTTTTTGAAGGTGTGCTGAAGTGGAATGTTGTTGCTTGGGGGAGTTTGGTGTCTGGTTTTGTGAGTAATAATCGGTTTAGGGAGGCTATTGAGGTGTTTAGTGAGATGGAGAGATGGTGTGAAGGTTAATGAGATGGTTATGGTTGATCTCTTGTTGCTTGTGGGAGATGTAAAGATATTGAGAGAGGGAAATGGTTTCATGGGCTTCTTTTGATCCGTTTTTACAGTCAGGAGATGATTTTAATGTGATATTGGCTACGATTTTGATTGATATGTATGGGAAATGTGGAGAGTTGAGAACCGCGAGGTATATGTTCGATGAAATGCCTAAGAGAAGCTTGGTTTCTTGGAATTAGATTATTACAAGGTATAGTCAGACCGGTGACGCAGAGGAAGCAATGCGTATGTTTTTGGATATGCTTGATTTGGGTGTCTCTCCTAATAAAGTAACGTTTTTGAGTGTGATAAGAGCTTCTTCCATGGTTCAAGGATGCTCACAATGGGGACAAATGCTTCACGGTTATGTATTGAAAACCGGTTTTGTAAAGGATGCTGCTGTAGTTTGTGCACTTGTGAGTATGTATGCTAAAACCGGTGATGCAGAGAGCGTGAATAGAGCATTTGAAGATCTTGAGAAGAAAGATACAAAAGCTTGGACCGTTGTGATCATTGGGTTAGCCAGTCATGGGCACGGGAAGGAGGCACTGAGTGTGTTCCAGAGAATGCAAGAGAAAGGTAATGCTAGACCTGATGGAATCACATATGTGGGGGGGGGGGTGTTATATGCGTGCAGCCATTTAGCTTTGGTGGAGGAAGGACGAAGATACTTTGCGGAGATGAGAGATGTTTATGGTATAGAACCAACAGTTGAACACTATGGATGTATGGTTGATATTTTGAGCCGTGCTGGTTGTTTTGAAGAAGCAGAGAGATTAGTAAAGACTATGCCGGTTCAACCTAATGCTAACTCAAGAAATCCTACCAATAATTTACAAATTTTGAAAAGTCGTTAGTTTTGTCTCTAAACACAAAAATAATCATAAAATATGTTAAAGACACAATTTGGGTACTTCCAATAATGTTGCTCTAAGGTCTCCGAGGAGGATGGCGTAACCTATTTAAATTTTACATTGACTACTTCTGCAATAACTCAAAAGCTTTGGAAAGAACCGGCTTGAACCGGTTTATATCAACGGTCACATTCTGTACCAAATAGGTCGCCTTGAAAGCCATCCACCCGCGTTTCGCCAATGGATCTCTAACGATCTCGTGATCGCGTCCATACTTCTGCACAAGCGAGCTCTCCTCCGCCTCGATCTTGTACTCCAAATACCTCAGACTCATCCCTTTCGCCGGCCTTCGAAAGTCCGTATCCGCCAGCCACTCGTATCCACCAAGCGGAAGAATCTGAATCACCACCGCTTTCTCCGGCAAGAACACCATGTTCGTAAGCCCGGCTCCGTGAACGCCAAGCATCACGTCGCACGAGTTCACTGTCTCCGCGAAATGCGCAAGGCCTGTGTTCGCTTCCGCCACCACGGCCTCGAATCCGATTTCTCCAGCCGCGTTCGCGATCTCGTCGGCGTTCGTGAACGCTCGCGTTCTGGCTCTCGAAAGAATCAGAATCCGTGGCCTTCGCTGTAGACTCTCTCCAGTAGTCACGGCGGCGTTTCTCAGAGAGTATGCGTCTCTTAGGAACCTCCTGAAATCGGACATGGAATATTCCGAATAGGAAGGATCGATCGTCAGCTCTTTGAAGTACTCTGGATGGCGTTTGAGACCGATGACGACGGTGTTGAAACAGTGCGTTTCTTCTTCACTGTCTATGTAAATCAGTTCGTAATTTGAGAGACTCTTCAAAATATCCTTGAACTTGTTGATCCACGCTTGATTCTTGTTCGTCATGAGGAACTGAACTTCACCGTTGAATCTACGCGCCGTCGTGAAAAGAGGAACCACGATGTCGGTGAAAGCGTGGAAGTTGTTCATCGCGTAGCCTCCCACAGAGAAAATCATTGCCGGAACGCTGTGATTCCTAACGCAACGCGATGAAAAATTAGCGTTCTCTAACTGATCAGCGTTTTGTGTTAGTTTCACCGTCCACTCTCTAACGTAATTCATGGCCCCAGGGTCACCTTTTCGCGCGTAAGGTCTCATATGCCACGTGGAGTTTCCCGAATACGCAGACGTTATCGCCGCAATAATCGTCGCGGATTTACCGTGGACCCTTACGTCGCCGTTTAACTCGCATATCTCAGTTCTTGATTGCCTCTTACATTTTACCGTTTCCTCTATTTTGTTACCGTCTGAAAGTTCACCAAGGAAAAAAAAAATCATAATCATGAAACTTTGTAGAAATTGATTAAAACGATTTAAAAACAAAAACAAAAGTTAAGAATGTGAACCTGAAATAGATTGTTCATTGGAGATTGAAGTGGGTGTTGTACAGTTAAACGTATCAAGACGATTCTTGGGTAAGCTTGTGTCGCTGCAAACACTAAGCTTGTCATCTTTAGAACTGGTTAAGCTCTGCGTATTTGTTGCATTTGATGTAATGTTACTTTCAGTCGTCGGGATAATGAGACTCTCAGAAACTCGAGATGTTGTATAGTTGCTGTTAAACGGTTGCGGTTTATGCGTTTCTGTTACTCTCAGCATCCTTAGACTAGTGTCCACTGAAAGTTGTGTATCCCCTGAAGAAAGAGAAAGAAAGACGTTAATTAGTTAATTGCTGTTTCTGCGTTTTTGGCGTTTGAAAGCGTTGGACAGGGACTTACTGGTTGGTAATGGGCTGAGACAAGGTTTAAAGATGGTGCAAAGAGTGATGACGAAGAAAAGTGAGGCAATGAAAGCTCCATAGCCAAGTCTCTTCTGTTTGTCTTTGCTAAAGCTACGAGCAAGTATTTTATGGTAAAGAAGATCCTTCTCTTTCATTTCTCTTGTCTCTCAAGTTACGCAAAACTTTTTATTTTCTTGCGCTGCAAGGACACTGTAGAACCAGGGTTTACACTCAAATTTCAGAGATACGTGACGTGAATGAAGGTGAGACAAAGGGAGGATTGTATGGAGTATATAAAAGTCATTTAGGACATTGCAACTCGTGTTCAATGATTGTTTCTGTGAATGTCGGGATCTTAAGACAGGGTCACGAACAGAAGTTCTACGTGTTGAAGATCAAAAAATCTAAAAGTTCAGTTTATTATTAAAATAACAGGATTTTATTAATTAGTAAGCCTGAGGATTGCCGGCATTGGAGAGTAAGGATTTGGAGGGCATGAAGTTGTAAGAAGCTTAATGAATGCTCCCCACGATTCTTCTTTCTAATTAGCTTTGGTTTCAGTAAATTAATATATATAAAATGAACACCAAACCATAATATAAATTAAAAAGTTTCGATTACATACGAAAGATACTCAATTTCCTAATATTAATTCAGTTCTAATCTTCAAAGACGGCAGCCGTATGATTTGTTTAATGTGATTATGTCAACCATCTGTTAATATTCCTAGGGGCACTAATTTTTCATGTTCTTAATTTTATTCTATCGTCACGAAATAACGCTGAAGGCTTCTACATTTAATAATCATTCACGTATTAGCATTTGGCTGCTGTGGTTTGGTTAATCCAATGAGATCAGCTTAAGTTGAAACAATTGGGGAAAAAATAAGAGAAGACGATGAGGAACTTTATGACCAGATTTTTAATTTACCCTTTTCACTATATAGTGTCTTTGTTTATGAATTTTTTACATGGTATCATAATCACATAACAAAATGTATAGGAAAATCACTATTTGTTTTATGTTGGGGACGAGTCTGGCATTCTCAACAAACCTATTCCTAAACTTTTACCAGCCTATTTATTTCATGTTTTGGCACTATTTTGTTTCAGTTAAGATCTAGTCATATGTTTTCTTTCCTTTGGAATTTAATCATTTACCATTGCCTCTAATGATATGTGTGGATCTGTTTAGTTTCTTTTCTATTGTGTTACCTTATGTATATCTGATTGTAGACAGATTATTTTGAATAAAATAATTTTTTAGTATTAAGAATTTTTTTTATCAGTCTATTTAATAGATGGAAGTCGGTAAAAAACATGAAATCAATAATAATAAAAAATAGTTGAAAAGGAAAAAAATTTTAAAATTAAAAATATATTAAAACGGGCTTCAACTTTATATGATTAAGACTGCTTTTCAAAATTTTCAATGATCATAAAAAACATTAAAAAGTTTCAACTCACAAGAGACAAGATTTTTCATGAAAGTCTTTATGAGACTATACTTATTTTGTAATGAAGAGAACTATGATTGACTGAAACGTACAAACGGTTTCAGAGTCAGTGTAAAATAAAGCGGGTGATGCAAAATAAATTTCACATTCATTTTCAGTTTCTGTTGGATTTAATATTGATGTAAATCTCAAGTTTAAGCTTAATGAAAATAATATGATCAAAAGATCAGAGAATTTTAATCCATGGAAAATGTTCCGTCAAAGTACCTGAATGGATACACAAATATAAACATCTTTTTTTTTTTTGATAAGCATCTTTCTTGAGCAAACTGATCATTTAAGAGAGTTTTTGTGAGTTTGATCTTCTTTTGGTTATTCAACTAATGAAATATCAGTTGTATGATTTTAATGATAAATTTTAAATTAATATTCCGACCTGACTATAAGAATTTACAGAACACGAATGCAGTAAACTATTTATTTTACATCGACTGTGTCTGCAATAGCTCAAAAGCTTTAGCAAGAACCGGCTTGAACCGGTTTATATCAACGGTCACATTCTGTACCAAATAGGTCGCCTTGAACGCCATCCAACCGCGTTTCCCAAACGCCTTTGGATTTCTAACGACCTCGTGATCGCGTCCGTACTGCCGCACAAGCGAGCTCTCCTCTCCCCTAATCTTATACTCCAAATACCTCAGATTCATCCCCTTCGCCGGCCTCCCGAAATCCGTCTCCGCCAGCCACTCGAATCCACCGATCGGAAGAATCTGAATCACCACCGCGTTCTCCGGCAAAAACACCATGTTCGTCAGCCCCGCGCCGTGAACGCCGAGCATCACGTCGCACGAGTTCACCGTCTCCGCGAATCTCGCGAGGCCTGTGTTCGCTTCCGCCACCACGACTTCGAATCCGATCTCTCCCGCCGCGTTCGCGATCTCGTCTGTGTTCGTGAAGGCTCGCGATCCGACTCGAGAGAGAATCATCATCCGAGGCCTCCTCCGCCGCCGCGGATCCACGGCGGCGGTTCGCAACGAGTACGCGTCTCTTAGGAACCTCCGGAAATCGGACATGGAGTATTCAGAAAAGGAAGAATCGATCGTGAGCTCATGGAAATACTCTGGATGGATCTTGAGGCCGATGATGACGGTTGTGAAACAGTGCGTTTCGTCTTCGTCGTCGATGTTAATCGGATCGTAGTTCGAGAGACTCCTCAGTATCTCCTTGAATTTGTTGATCCACGCTTGGTTCTTGTTCGTCACGAGGAACTGAACTTCTCCGTTGAATCTACGCGCCGTCGTGAAAAGAGGAACCACGATGTCAGTGAACGCGTGGAAGTTGTTCATCGAGTAACCTCCGAGAGAGAAAACCATCGCGGGAACGCTGTGATTTCTAACGCAACGTGAGAAATTAGCGTTCTCTAATCGCTCGCCGTTTTTATCTAATTTGACCGTCCATTCTCTAACGCGGTTCATGGCTCCAGGGTCTCTTTTTCGCGCGTAAGGTCTCATTTGCCACGTGGTATTACCAGAAAAAGCAGACGTGATCGCGGCGAGAATCATCGCGGATTTACCGTGGACTCTTACGTCGCCGTTTAATTCGCATACTTCTGTTCTTGATTGCTTCTTACATTTTACCGTTTCCTCTATTTTACTACCATCTGAAAATTCACCAAAAGAAAAAAAGAATTGATGATAACTGCCAGAATCATAAAACTTTTGTTGAAATTGATTAAAACTATGGAAAAATAAATAGAATGGTTAAGAATGTGAACCTGAGATAGCTTGTTTTTTGGAGATTGAAGTGGGTGTAGTACTACTTAACGCTTGCGGTTTCTGAGTTTCTGTTACTCTCAGCATCCTGAGACCAGTGTCCACAGATAATTGCAACTCCACTGAAGAAACAAAGAAAGAAAAGCGTTGGTCAATTATTAATGTTTCTGCGTTTTATACAAAGATGTGAAGGGACGTACGTACTTGTTGGTAATGGGCTGAGACAATGTTTAAAGACGGTGCAAAGAGTGGACACGAAGAAAAGACACGCAATGAAAGCTCCATAGCCAAGTCTTTTCTGTTGATTTTTGCTAAAGCTACGAGTAAGTATTGTATCGAAAAGAAGATCCTTCTCTCTCATTTATCTTGTCTATTAGGTTTGCGCACACTTTTTACTTTCTTGTGCTGCAAGAAAGCTATATAAATGGAGCTTATACGCGAATGTAGAGGTGAATGAATGTGAGAGAGGGAAAGGATTGTATGAAGTATTTAAGTTGTCGTTCTACGACAATACTACTCGTGTTCGATGATTGTTCTCAAAATGTCGGGATCTTAAGACAGGATCACAATGAAGTTTTAGGTGTTGAAGATCAAAATAAATAAATGTATTATTAAAAGAAGATGATTTTATTAATTAATAAGTCTGGGGATTGTCGGCATTGGAGAGTAAGGATTTGGAAGGCATGAACGTGTTAGTAGAAGAAGAAGTCTTAGTAAGCTTTGTTAATGCTCCCCACGATTCTTCTTTTTAGCTTTGTGTTAAGCTAACTAATTTATATATAATCAACACCAAACCAAATTATAAAGAAGTCTCGAACATAAAAAAAAAAAAATGGTCTCGAACTATTTATTAAAAATATGGAAATTAGAATACTCATAAAGATACAAGTTCGTAGCTACTTCAATTATATTCTTGGGGATGATTATTTTGTAGAAAACATAAACATGAAACTGTGGATGGAATACATTTTCCTTACAAATCAATATCATATTCCCTCCGTTCCATAATATAAGATATTGTAAAAAAGATTTGACGTTCCAAAATATTAGATATTTTGCTACTTAAAAAATAACTTTAGATTTATTGAAAATAGATTGACCAGTGACGTTTTACTGTAATATTATTATTGGTTAACTAATCTTTAGTTTATGTTATTAATAGCATTTTCTCTAAAACAGTAATTGTAAAAAAAAAAAAATTTGTAGTTAACCAAAACATTTTATATTATGAAAGGGAAGGAGTATGTGTGCTTAGAATAGATTTTCGTAAATCGTAATCATATGTTAAGAATCAGAGCATCATCTTTTGACAGTGACTTAATTCTCGATATACTTTGTCATATTCGGTTTGGCCAGTTATTATTACACTGAGTAAAATGTGAGCATGCTTTAAAATCACAAAACGGCTTGTAAGCGTTTGTCAACTATTTGAACTATATATGCCTCTTTGTTAAATCAGATCATCCAATTGTTATGATAATCTAAAATGTGACTGTTGGACATGTTCATAATAATTTTTAAAAATAAAAATGAAAGGAACATTGTAGTTGACTGTTATGACACAAGGAAATCTAAATGATTGATTGATTGTTCGTTGTTTAGTTTTTTTTTTTTTTTTTTTTTTTGCTCGAGGCCAATCAACGAAGGGGGCATAATCAATTTTGCTATGAAAGCTATGAATCAACTAACAGTTGGTGCTATTTTTCTTGATTTATGTTAAGTTTGGTTGTTAAATTGTCTATGGACCCTTTCTCAACAATCTCTCATTATATTTTTCTTTAATCAAAATACGTATAATATATAATATTAATTAATTAATATCTATTCTCATTTTTCGTTTTCTCAATATATATGATTTTCTCTGTTTCTAATTAATTTTCGTTATAATATAATTTTTTATTACAAAATATATGTCAATTTATATTTCAAATATATTTTTTACTATTATTTTATATCTTTTGCTCCTAATCAAACTAAGAAAAATATTAAATGCTACTCCCTCCGTTTCATATTAAGTGTCGTTCTAGAGGAAAAAATTCGTTACAAAATAAGTGTCGTTTTCGGTTTTCAATACAAAATTTATTAACTTTATTATATTATTGATTTTTCTATTGGTTAAAATGTGGTTAGGTGTATTGGTAATTGTGTTTATATAGGAAATATATAAAATTAATTGTTTTCTTAATCCGTGTGCAGAAATCTAAAATGACACTTATTTTATAACAGAGGGAGTATGTAATTTTAATAATTAAACAAAGGTAAATCTAAAAATTTAAATAGTTTTTTTAATTTTTGTGCAAAATTCTAGAATAACAAGTAATTTAAAAGGGAGAGAGTAGTTACTTTTGTTCATAGTTTTGTCTATAGCTTGAGTCTTAACAATGGAACCTGCAAGACTAAATCTAGTTAAACAAACACACACATATATATTATAAACCAAAACGTGCGGTGATTACCTCAAAACCCAAACCAAATGTGTTTGTCAGAATATGGATCTTTTCTCTCCATTAGTTAGGTATGAAAAGAAACATCATAATAATAGCCATATAAGTGAGTTGTTGAGTTGTTAAGGAAGTTCAAAAAAAAAAAAAGTGAGTTGTTAAGGAAGAAATAGACATTCTAACAAGTTCCGTGCCTCATAGCCTATATGGTGGGTCGCATGACGATGCATGTATGTTCCACTTCCAATATACGTTTTCTTGTGTAGTCGTAATACCAATAAAAAATGTGGATATATAGAAAAATATATTCAAAATATTGTTAGTGTAACCAGTTAGAAATCAACAATTTATATTTTATGATAAGATCGGTACAGAAACAAAAAATTTGAGCAAGGGATCTACATATAAATTTATGAATCATCAATTATGTAATAATTGTTTAACATTTTACAAATGCTGAAGAATTATCTAAAATATACAATGCATAGATCTTATTATTTGGAGGTAGAAAAACTAACTCGTACAATACAAATAATTTGATTTTTCTCCAAACAAAGGTATATATGTAATGTTAGAACTTATGAAAATATATAGTATCTTTTGTAAGCGTATAGTTATTTAAATCGCAAATCCGATACAAGACATATCTAGGCACAAATGCTTTTACGTTTACATATTTAGCGGCAAAGCCACACACAAGAACGTGTAGGACGCTTTTCGATTTATATATGGTAGATAATCCATCCCAAAATACTGATTTATTCAGTTAAAAAAAATACTGAATTATTATAACATCTTTAAGCTTTCTTTTCAAGGACCAATTTAATCTTCAAAGACGGCAGCACTATGATTTGTTTCTGTGATTATGTCAAACATCAATTAATATTAAAAATCGATTAATATTCTATAAGGAGATTTTTTTTCTTCTGCTTATACTTTTACTACAAGAAAACATGGCAATTATTAACAGAAATTCTGATGAAAAAGTATTCGTTCAAAATTTATGAAGAATTTTTGAGGAACATGAAATTTTATCACTTGTCGATATTTTGTCAGATTTTTTTTGACCAATTTCATCTTTTACCGAAAATAATTGACGAATTACCGATAATTTTTGAGGAATGTTAAACAGTTTGAGGTATAAAATTGAAATTTAGGATTCCAACGGAAATTGGTCGGAAAATTCTGATAAAGTTTCAACGAATTTCCAAAAAAAAAAGTTTAAGATATGAAATATTCTAAATTAATGTTAAACTGGATACGTATAAGATCACCATGATATATATTAACTTACAAAATCATGTGGGTTAATAATATACATCAATTATTTAAAGCCATACATTCTCGCGATGGATTAATCGACGGATACATAACCATTCTCATTAACATTTATATACCTTAACAAATATTTGGCGATCCAACTTAATATCTTGAATTTGTGTGTGTTTCAAATATTTTGGAGATTATAAACCTCTAAAAATCATTAGTTTATCATCAATGGCTATTATCAATCTATTTTGCTATGTTTAGAAACCTAAATACATAACTCGTCAGAAATGTGTATATTCTGACGAATTTCTGATAAAAATTGTGTATTCCGACGAAAATGATATCTTCATCGGATTTCATTGAAAATAGAGTTTTGTCCGAAAAAGAACCGTTTAATATTTTGTGAAACACCAAAATAAATACATTCTAATGGATTTCCGACGAATTTAATCTGTCAGAATTTTTTAACATAAAAAAAAAAAATCTTCATTTTTATTTCATCTCTCTCTTTCTCTAAGCTCTATCTTCTCACTCTCTATCAGTCAAAGAACATCTGATGAATAGCCATGAATCCTTCTTTCAGAGTCCCATTAAATCATGTTAGTCATTTACTATCCTTTCAATAATCATATATGTTAGTTTGTATATGTGTTAAGTTAGGATTGATGTATTTATGGATTGGAGTGTTAGAAATGAGTTAGATTGGTTAATATAGGATTTCATATGTTAGGTTTGTGTTAGAATTGTTAGTTTAGGATTTTACATGTTAGATTTAAGATTTGAAAACTTGTTTTATGTTTTTTGATGTTTTAAAATGATTCTATGATTTTATAAAATGTTCTATGCTTTTATAAAACGTTTTTATGTTTTTAAAATTTATAAAAAGTTTTTCTTCACTTCCAAAAGACGTTTTTATGTTTGTTTAGATTTAATAAAAACGTTTTTTTAAAAAAAAAATTTTAGGAAACATTTTCAATTACAAAACATTTCACTTTTTCTTCAAATATTTTCAATTTATAAAAGGTCTTTTGTTTTTTTAAAAAAAATTATAAAAATGGATTTACACTTCTTAAAATATTTAAATTTAGAAAATGTTGAAATCTGTTTTAAACTATATAGCTATATTAAACTATAACTCTATTAGATTTTACATGGATACAAAGTAACAAAAATATTTAAAATACGTTAAACGAGCACGGCTAACTTTATCTGCAATGTTAATACAACGGCCTTTTACGTGTATTCATTTCTCCTACGCAAAGCAACATAGACATACTGGTTTATAAAACTATATGGAACCTTAGCAGGGAGACTTTGGAAATTTACATTTGCAGATACGTCTGCTGCTCACTTTAGGGTTTTCATGCCTACACTCGCAAGAAAAAGGATACTTTTTAATTTTATTAAATCCTCTTATGCAAGTCTTGTTTCCATCCCACCCACAGTTCTCTTCGAACGGTTGTGATTTTATGCACACCTTCGCATTCACCTCTGTTATTTCGTATCAACAAATATTTTTAGAAAAATGTTAAATTGTAAATGAGATCCTTTTTCGTTGAATAGTCAGAACAGAAGAAAAAATAACATATCACGCACCATTCACTTGGTTGAGAATAAAGAACATGAGAACACAAGAAACTATGATCAATGTGGTAGACTTCATGATTCAACGAAAACAAAATGATTTGAGAAATAATATTATCTTGTTACTTGCAGGAACTTCTTGATTGCTTGGCTTTTGTAGTAAGCATACATGCATGCTAGTGTTCTTTATAGATAGCACACGTTAAAAATAGCTATTTACACTAAATTAGGAGGAACTTCTTACATGGTTTCAGAGAGAAATTAGGAAGAAAAATATGAAGATGAAAAAGAATGTAAAGATGTTTAATAATTAAAAAAAAAACAACTCTAAAATGTTATTACATAAATAGACATCCATTCACCTAATACTCTGTTGTATGTTTCTGATAATCTCTTATACTAAAAAGAAAACATTCAAAAATATAGCGGACACATGATAGATGGATTCATATAAGCTTTTAAACAAATCAGTAAACGCAAGCACGAGCGGTTGCGTCACTGCGATTGAAGCGATTTGACACTCTCTAGTTTCTCTTCTAAGTTCCATCCCCTGAAACTCAACGACGACAAGAGTTTTAGTTATGTGCTTACAATACCAACCCTCAAGAGCTACAAAGAGATAATAACAAAATTTTCTTCACCTTTCAACAGCTTCCCTTTTCAATGAATCGATTTGTGTCTCAAGCATCGCACACGCAGACTGGATCTCCATATTCTTGACACAGAGCTGTCTCCATTCTTGAGATAGAGCGTTGAGCTCATACGCTGTAGTTTGCTGATATGGCCACACAACAAAGCTTCAGATTACCCCGTAAACCAAAGAGAAGACAGCTATGAAGAAAATGTGTGAGTAAATACTTCAATTGTTTTATCACCTGATGATACTTCCTTTCACGATTGACTTTTTCAATCTCCTCGTTCTGCTCCTGAGCTAGTCTTTGCATTCTGGAAAATTAGAGACCAAGTAGAGTGATGAGATCAATCTCGCTTTGTTGAAGTCCCAAGAGCACGAAGAGCTCTCACAAAGAAAAGCACATGAAGAAAAAAGCACAAATCAAGTCTAATGCGCAAAAGCCAACGAAGCATTTTATGCAATGAAATCGACAATGAACATATCAAGAATGCTTCAACAGAATAAGAACAGCACATCAACTAAAGAGCTTGAACACTTTTAAATCACATAGGTCACAATGTAACAAATGAAAATTCAATGAATGCCTGCTTAACACATAGATTTGAAAACAAACCTGGTCAAGAATACTTCTAGCCGATGATTGTTCTGTCTCCAAAGCTCAGGGCCATGTTTTGACATCATTTCCAAATTCTCAAGCCTGTGAATTAAAGATGTCAGAACTCAGAAGAAGATAGTAGTAGTAAATTAGAGATTACTAACAATGTTAGGTGCTTACTCGATCATCTTCTGTTGTAATGACCGTTGAGTCTTGTGAAGATACTGCTTCCATGCAGCATCATCATTTTTCTTACTAGCAGGTGGCAATTCATGCTTATACCGGCACTCGAAATCGATCCTCACTGGTGGCTTCCCAGCTCGAACACGCTCATACTCTTTGCCAAGCACTGGACAGTTCTGATATTCGTTTTCCACCAACCAAACCAAAGAAGACAAAAAAAAAAACAATCAACACATGACATGAGACAGTTAAATTAAAAAAAAATTCATTCACTTACCTAAACCCTGAAGCTAACTACAAGATCCACAAACAGTTCAGAAATCTCCAGGAAAAAGTCTATCAATAAAGTGTGTAAATATTTAGTTATTCAAAAACCAAGAAACTAAAACTAACTGAAATAAATCACTTAAACTCAAGAAGCAAAACCCTAATTTACTATAAACCCTAATTCCAACTAAATTCCTTAACAAACAAAACCCTAATTTACTATAAACCCTAATTCCAACTAAATTCCTTAACAAGCAAACCCTAATTTACTATAAACCCTAATTCCAACTAAATTCCTTAACAAACAAATCGATATATAAGGGATTCGCCGTGAAATTGACCTCGAAATCGAACTTTGGAAGAGGAGGCAAATCCTTGAGGAAATCAGCAGGCTTCCTTGAGCTCCGACGCATCTCTTCCTCCACCAATCGGTCCACCTCAGCTTTAATCAGTGGATTGCCGTAGTCATCATCTATATAAGGAAGCGCATCGATGACTTCCGCGTTCGCCGCGCTCGCCCATGGCTTCGTAGCCTGAGGCGCCGCCTCCAGCATCAAAACGTCCCCATTGTTCGTCGCCATGAAAGTTGTCGAGAGAGAGAGAGAAGAAGAAACCAATTGAAAGAAAACAAAAATATAGTACTAGTTACCGGTACCGTGGATCCGACCCGATAATAATGGACCTCGGGCATCTTTGGGCCTTTTGAAAATTAAACGTATATGTTTATTTTTGGAAGCTATATAACATTCTGATTTCTTAACAATTGTTTTTATTACATTCTTTTTTTTGTCAACATTGCGATTACATTCTGAACAATTGCTTTCTACATATGGTTTTATTTTGGGGAAATTGTTTTTTAGACCAAAAAATTGGTAACATTATCTCTTTAGACTAATTTTTTTTGTATCTTTTTTTCTATAATGCCTTTTACTAATTTTGAAAATAAATTAAATAAATAGTTTTAGAAAAAAGATAAAAAAAAATAACTAGTTATGAAACAACAATATCAATCTAGTGGTATTTTTTTCAATTTTTAAAAATGTATAAATCCTTTTTCAAATTATGTTCTACATAAAGTAGAAGTGGCATTCTACAAAATAGAAAATGAAATCCATTTTTTATTGAAACTACTATGTTTAGAATACACATCATGTGTTTAAAGTATTCTTCTAAAATCAGTAGAAAACGGATTCTACACATTGCTATAATATCTAAATAAATAGAATTCAGAATCTACATATTATTATAAATCTAAAATTTGTTGAACCTGATTTCAAACATTATTACACATTCTACGAATAAGAATATTCTGTTCCAAAAATATAGGAAGAAAATATTTAAAAATATTCACTTTCCATAAATAAAATCGATTTTTCTGATTAGAAATTTTAAAACAAAAAATGATTTTTTATTAGAAAAGTAAAAAAAAATGATTTGGAGATCATCGAGATCGACCAGACGGATCGACAATCGACTATGGAGATCAATCGATCTCTTAGATAAAGCAGTGTTTTCTTCACGTTTATTTTTTGATTTGGGAATTTTAATTTTGTACTTTTTTTTTACAATTTTAATTGAATTTAAAGGTATTATTGCCATTTAGAAAAAAAAAATTAGCCTAATGGAATATAAAGTAACAGAGATTAAGTCAAAGGGGCAATATATCCTTTTTGGCCTAAAAAACAGTTTACCAATGATTTAATTAATACTTTAATACCAAGAGGTAAATCTGGATTTAAATTTCCAATGAATTATGCAAACATATAAATACTTGCAAATTAAACCCCGAACTAACACTGGATAAGAAGTAAAAAACTAAGAGACAGCAAAAAACTCGAACTAGAAAGAACAAACACAACATAAGAAATGTCTCCGGTCACCATTCCTTTAACAGCTGCCATTGTCCGACCACACATCAGTACATTTCAGCCTCTTTTCACCTTCTTTAAAGCTAAAGAATGATCTTCTCTTCATTTTTAGCACACAAACCAATTGCCAAAGTCAATCTCTTCTCACTCAATATGGTGGTCATTTTCGAAAGGTAGCCTCTGTTTTTTGAACTATCAATCAATGTTTGTTTGTAGTTAAAAACTATTATCCCAGGCTAAATCTAGCAATATTGGAGAACATCACGTTTTAATATACTCAAAAGGAATTCACTTATATAGCCTAAAGATTTGGTGTGAACACACCAAAATCTTCTTTTACTGTGTTTTCGATAGACTCTAGACTCGATGGATGATACAATGTTTTAATTAAAGTACACCATTGGCAATTATTAGGAACAGAAAGTAAAAGCAAACGTTCTATAAAACTCGAGACTTCAACCCCTATGATTCATTTCACCACTTTTCTAATGCCATCAACTTGGTAGTGGAGAGCACAACGTTGACATTTTTGTTGCGACGAAGTCTTGGAACCACGTCTTCAATTTTAAACTTAAGGTAATTTTCATCCAACTGTACGACCATCTTGTTTAGTTTCTTTGTGTTGTTAAGCACAAGTTCCACTAATGAAGCCAAATGCTTTGATTTTGCGTACACACAACACTTGTTCCAAGAGTCTCCATCTTTTGATCTCCAGCATGTGTTCAGATTAAAGCCTTGCAATTCCAAGTATTTGTCAAGATGCTTCTCCTGTACAATAAAAAAAAATATATAGAAAAACCCTTGTTGGATTTATTTGAACTCGATAATGAATAGCTAGAAAAAGGGTTGATGATGAATATACCAGTAAGGTGTTGAAATTCCTAGCACGTACTGTTAGCTTCTCTAATTCAGGAGAGTTTTGTAACAGTCTTTCCATACCAGGAATAACATATTGAGAGATCTTTGTATCAAGAGTCAATGCTTTGACCTTGAACATGGGAAAAGGAACACCACGAATCTCAGCAAGAGATAAAATCTAATAGAACCAACAAAAAGATAGTGAATATTGATTAGTATTGCAAACTTATATGAGCCAATTACAAACTTTAATACCTGAATAAAGTTTCCCCCAAACCTAAGCTTCTCTGCGTTCTGTAACTTTTCTAGCATCATTAGAAGCATGATTTGGAGAAAATCAGCCTTGAAGTTGAAGTACTTATTATGGTTCACTGAGAAGAAAATTTCGAGTTTAATTAGCTTCGGTTAAAGAATCCACATTAACAAAAGTACGTGATGATGACTCAGAGTTGAACAATCTGAGATAGCGGATGTGTGGTGCCACAATTTCCATTGACCCACAAACCGGCACGGTAAGCTTTACATCTAATGTTCTCAAACGTAGGGATTTGCTAAGATCAAGAACCTCTAGTTCATAGCAGTTTAATAACGTTAAGTTTTCAAGGACCGGAGAACCGGATAGAATCTTAGCCATGGAATCATTAGAGAGTCTACACCAACTCAAGGATAACTTCTGCAAGGATGTCCAAGACACAGCGCACTCAGGAAGCTTATATCCATAATGATAACGAAGGAAGTCCAGGGACAGATTCTCAACGTTGTGTGACATGGTGAACTTGATCAATCTCTCGATGTATGGTATGTTCTCCACTACGTGTTCTACTGCGAGGTGAAAACTCGTCGTCTTGGGAGCTGTGTAGCGAGTTAGGGTTTCATTTACCGAAGCGGCAGTCAGTGTATCCACATCTAAGGAGAGAGAAGGTACCTCGCACCATATATGCCTCCATCGTCTAGACAAGATGGATGTTGTGATGGCTACTTTGGTCGGTATAAAGCAGAGTATGTGTTGGAGGATCTCATCTGGTAAATTGCTGATCAAGTCTACACCTGCTTTGTTCTTTCTGTGGTCGGCCATCTTCACTTTAATTATTCTTTAGGCACAGATTTTATTATATATATAGAACTCTAAAAAAAACGTTATGTAGAGCCTTAGCTTGTTGTGTTGTATCTGACCCATTAGTGGGATGAACTTGGGCTTGAAGCCTTTTACCTTTATACTATCAGATGGTGCACACAAAAAAAAGGTTATGTAGTTTCCTCTTTCTCAATCCTTAAAGTACTTATGCCAAAATACTAACCCGGATTCTTAATAAGATTCTTAATAAAAGGTTTTTAACTTATGATTTTATATTTTTTTATACTTTTCGACTAAGAACCGATTTTTATATTCAATTCTTTGTTTTTTTTTAGTAAAAAGTAGGCTTGTTCAATCCGGTGTTCGGTCCGGTTTCGGTTCGTTTTTTTCGGTTTTCGGTTATTCGGTTTATAAAAATTAGCTACCATATAGGAACCATATTTAATTTGGTTTGGTTCGGTATTTATACTACCGGTTTTCAGTTTATTCGGTTTTATACCAAATAACATTATTATTTGATTTGGTTTTATATATATATGAATTTAAAAAAAAAACATATTGTCAAAACTATCATTTATTAAAATAATCCTAAGTGTTCATAAATATAAAAATGTGAAATTAACAACAAACAAAACGACCAACCATTCAGTTTTGTACAGTTTTTCTTATTTCCTCTTTGTTCTTCCAAATAAATTACATGGTACGATCTAATTTCACAGATAATAATTGAAGAAAATAAAATAAAATTATTAAGATATATCTTCACTAGGAATAAAAAAGTTAAAAAAGACTATTCCAAGAAAATAAATGGTTATATAATTTAAATATATTTATATATTTTTTCTTTGATCGGTTTATTCGGTTTAATCAGTTATAAACCTAACTATATCCAAATCCTACGGTTTTAATAAAATCATATCCATTCGATTTATATGGTATATACCAAATCCAAACCATATTGTCTATTTCGATTCGGTTCGGTTCGGTATGGTTCGGTATTACCATATTGAACAGCCCAAAAAAGCTAAAAATTGGTTCTTAGTCAAATCTAAAAACTCCACCTTAAAAATCTAGGTTAATCATGGTCTAACAAACTTCGGATAAGCTATTGCCTTGTCATCCGCTGATGTTAAGATCTTGCCAACTAGTCCAGAAATATTATGACTGAAAAACGGCAATAACTGCTGTTAGGGAAAACTGTTAGGGAAATTAAATGATGATATTGATAAGACCAAGTCCCAACACTTTTAAAAACTTGCTAATAGATTAGCAAAACACTCTCAAAGAGTTAAAAAGAAAAAATCTAAAGGGAAAGCAAAACGAAACTCGAATAGAAAGAACAACCACAACACACGAAATGAAAAAAAAAAAAGAATGATTCCTTTACCAGCTGCCACTGTCCGACCACCGCCACTACGTTTAGCCTCTTTTCACCTTCTTTATTGCAAAAGAATGATCCTCTTGTGTATGTGTTCATTCTGAACAAATCTCATAAACCAATTGCTTATGTTCCTTAATAAAAGATCATACTGTATGTCCCACGCTAAATCCTAGCAAATAATAACTGATCCACCTCTGGTTTTAATTTACTCTAAAGAACTAAACTTATCTATGCCCTGAAACTTTTGTGTGAACAAACCAAAATCATCTCTACAGTGTTTTCATGGCTCGAAGTAAAATAACAAATAAAGTAAATTAACAAGAAACCAGTAAAGCTCTCAAGACTTCAACCCCTATGATTCACCACTCCTCTGATGCCATCAACTTGCAGTGGTACAACGTTAAGTTTTCAAGAACAGGACAACCTGATTGAAACTTAGCTATGAATTCATCAAAGAGAGTACAACGACTCTAAGATAAGTAGGGATGTCCAAGACTTTTTGTGATATGCTCTTATAAACTGCATTTATATATATGGCCTGAAGATTTTTTTGTGCGAACAAAAAAGTCGTCTTCTATTGTGTTTCAATAGAAACGATGTAAAATTTTAAATAAAGTAAACCCATTATTAAAACACACGCATAACTAAAAAATGTTCAAATGACATTCAAAAGACTTTAACCCTTATGATTCACCAATCATATGATGTCATCAACTTGTTGGTGGAGGAGAGCACAATGGTGACATTACGATTGGGAGAGAGTGTTGGAACCACCACGTCTTCAGTTTTAAACGTAACGTAACGTTCATCCAACAGTACGACCATCTTGTCTAATTTCTCTGTGTTTTTAAGAACAAGCTCCACAAATGAAGTGACATTCTTTGATTGTAAATTCCAACAAGAATTATTCCAAGATAAAGCATCTTTAGATCTCCAGCATTGATACATATTCAAGGAGTGTGATTTCAAGTATTCGTCAAGATGCACCTCCTGTACCAACATATATAAAGATACCAAAAGTTAAAAACGGAATATTGTTAGAACTCGATAATAGCTAGAAAAAGATGTTGTATGGTAAATATATATACCAGTATGCTGCTGCAACTCCTTCCACGTAGTGTTAGCGTCTCTAAATCAGGTGAATTTTGTAACAGACTTTCTATACCAGGAATAACATACCGACAGATATCTGTATCCAGAGTCAATGATTTGACCTTGAGCATCGGGAAATAAACATCACGAGCAAGAGATAAAATCTAAAACAGAAAAAAACAAAAACAAAGTTAGTTAATATTGAGTAGTACCGAGAGCTTATGACATAGACTTTTCAAACGTTCTTAGAACTATAGAAAAACAGACTTTAAAGAAAACTAATTAACCCATATAGAAAACGTTGACCGTGCAACCAAATGAATTTTAAGCATTAGAGAATATGATATTATATGAAGCCAAAAAGACATAAGTACCTTAATAAAGTTTCCACCAAAGGTAAGCTTCTCTGCGTTTTGTAACTTTTCTAGCATCTCTAGCACCTTGACTTGGAGTTTGAGAAAAGCAGCTTTGGTAAACTTGAAGTGAGAGTTATAAGTTGGGACGTAGCAAAATTCCAACTTAGCTTCGGTTAGAGAAGAGACATCAACCAAAGTACATGGTGTCTGAGCGTCAAATAATCTGAGACAATGGATGTGTGGTGCCACAATCTGTTTTGGCCCCAGTTGCTTCACGTTACGGTATACTTCTAATGTTCTCAGACGTAGTGATTTGCTGAGATCAAGAACCTTTAGTCTATTGCAGTGATACAACCTTAAGTATTCGAGAACCGGACAACCAGATAGAATCTTAGCCATGGATTCATCAGAGAGACTACAAAAAGTCAATGATAACTTCTGCAACGATACCCAAGACCCATGGCACTCCAGAACCATCTTAGGACTTAACTTAATGTTGAGTTGTTTGAAAGAAGAACTGTTATAGAAGAAATTAGGAAGCTTATACTCTACCGGTCTACGGAAATCCAGATCCAGGGATAGATTCTCAACGTTGTGTGACATGGCAAACTTGATCCACTTGTCGATGTATGGTATGTTCTCTGTCATGGATGTTATTAAGAGGTGAAAACTCTTCGTCTTGGGAGCTGTGTAGCGACTTAGGGTTTTGTTTACCGAATCTGCCGTCAGTGCGTTGGCCTTTAAGGAAAGAGAAGGTATATTGCACCAGACATGCCTCCATCGTCTAGACAAGATGGATGTTGTGATGGCTACTTTGGTCGGTATAAAGCAGAGTATGTGTTGGAGGATCACATCTTGTAAATTGCTGATCAAGTCTACATCTCCTTCGATTGCCATTTTAGTTTTCTTAGGAAGCAACGATATGAAATCAAAGCAAAGAGATATTGGTTGCTTGGTTGCGAGGAATCAATCTGAGAGAGGGAGCAGAAGATGACAATCTGGTAAGGCTTTCTAAATACGCCCGCTAGGTTTCCACTCTATCCGACATATCAATTGATTAAATCGTGAACAATAGACCTTATATATAGCTTATGAATCTATGTAATTTGTTATATTAAAATAATTAAATGAAACTATTTTTAATATAATAAAAAGGAAATATGCAGATAACTAAAAAAAAAATTATATTTACAAAAAAAAGAAAAGAAAACATATTTTTATGAAAATATCTTTTATACACAACTAGGTGTTTTGCCCGCACTTGCGGGCATAAT